AAGCATACGAATTTTGTGTAGGCTTAACCGATCGACATATTTATAGCAAATATTACCCGAATCAAGAAAAAAGTTTTAAACCTTTCGAAATATTATATATATTAGGGACGGCTACCACAGATAACCTTTGTATTTTAAACCATAATCACCTTTCGAAATATTATATATATATATATATATTAGGGATGGCTACTACAGATAACCTTTGTGTTTTAAATCATAATCACCTTTCGAAATATTATATATATATATTATGGACGGCTACCACAGATAACCTTTGTGTTTTTTTACTTGAATATTTGAAATAAACAATTTACACAGCTCGTTATTTTGTCATCTTAAACAACTCAGTTTACCTATTCAGAAACAATAAACAGGAAAGTACTTAGAATAAGGTATTTCAAGTTTTGGGTTGGTACGGAACACTATAAGATATAGTAAAACTCTGGGATTAGTTGTAGGTCAAAATAAGACTTTCTGCGAGTCATTTGATTTTCACATATAAATAAAAAAAATTACCAACGAGCTTAAAAAGCCGAAGTCATAAAAAATTTGTTAAATGATCAAGCATGAAATAATGCTTCTCTAATTTGAATCTAGTTCGTACCATAACAGTTGTTGTTCATGCAATGTGATAATATAAACAATGTTTCAGTCACTACTGTGTCTGTCTAACTGTTACACGTTGAAACAGCTATAAGTTTACGGACTTACAACGCTAGAATCCGGGGTTCAATCTCCCATAATGGACACATCAGATAGCTTTGCTCTAAAATCAAACAAATGAATTGTTGTGCCTCAACGGGCCTGAGGAGTTCTGGTATTGGTCGAAAGACCAATACAGCACTGGATATATCAGGTATAGTGTTATAGGCATATTGTTATACATTCTTAGAAATACTAAAATTACTTTTATAATAATCTTATCTGCATATGCAAAACAATTTTCATGCATAGCAGCATCCTTTCCAAATAAAATATAAAGGTCAGTAATTTTGTTTCTGTTGACCTTATTGACTAATTTTTTTCTATGTCTTTCAATGAGATACTACATGAATATTATCTCTGATATTGACTTTTGGACAATGATTTTTCTAAGTCATTCTTTGCATGCAATCGAATAAATTGTTATTTAGTTGCTATTGATGTTTTATTCAACTTGTAATTTAATTATCAAAGTGTTCTCAAGATTACTAGTATCAGTGTAGCTGCTAATTTGAAGACAACTTTAAATACAAAATGTACGTACAGACGAACACGTTATTATTATTTTTTGTGTTCTGGATTTTTGTGCTATAGATTTATTGCAACTTTAATGTTAACATATAGTTTCTTCTATTGTTATAATCTTATGAAGAATACACTAATGAAGGTATTCTAGAAGTATCAAATTTATTAAAGCAAGAATAGTAGAGAAATAAATGCTGAAAAATTAACTCTAACTGACATGATTGAAAAAACATAACATAATCTAAGCTGTTTTCGTGTTTTGCCATCTTAAACAACCTAGTTTACGTATTTAGAAAATATACACAGAAACACACTATGATAAACAAGGTAATCATGAAGTCGTTCTCAAAATTTAGTATGCAAAGCAATAGATGTAATAACTGTCAAAATAAATAAAATTAAATATTCTGAAGCCCTATAAAAATGACTTATGCTACAAACTTACTTGCCAGAATTCAATGCATGTGGTTGGTAAAGGTCCTTGTGTGGCAATATATCTATTTACAATGTTTGAGGTTGGTATCATCATCTGTTGAAAACATTCACATGCACAACGATAATAAATTGAAAAGTTTCAAAACAGCAATTTTAAACATTTAGTGAGTTTAGCTTGTGGGTTTATTCACTTACAAAAGTAGGCAATATTTCTGAAGTCAAATAAAATATAACCAGTTTTATTTAAAAGGAATTAATCTGATCTAGATTTCTCACTAACTGCAAATTTGCCTTTTACAATATTGTATAAAACGAGTAACTAAACAACCTCACAAACAGTACTTATAAATCTACAAGAAAACAATATACATACATTTATATGACTAGCGTTTATGTAGTCTCCTGTGATACAGTCTTCTAGAACAACTCTCGTTGTGTCATCTAGATTCATTCATAGAAAACGTATTAAAGTTAATTAAATATTTTACAAACCCAAACTTTTAAGGAAAGCAGATTGACTAATATGATTAATGAGTCCACAGTGTGTTTAATAACAACTATGTTGTAAATTTATTATCTCTAAGATAATTGTTTTTTAATAACGAATTATCAAAACTCTTATGATAAATATTTTACAAATGACCTGTTTGTCGAAATATGGTTTGCTGTATTATATCTTTATAATATTCTCGTATTTAACACAAAATTACAAAACACTATAGCTTGATCACTTTCGAAAGGTGGGCCTTTCTTCATGAGGGGGCAAATATTCTCATACATAATGTTATAGAGGGCGTGTCAGAACTAAATAAGAATAAGTAATAATAGATACAGAAATAAAAAGTATGAAACTGATTAAAATAAAAATAAACGTGAAAGATACGGTTGTGACTTTGTATTAAGTTTTTATATATAAAGGATCTTAACAAAATGTGTAAATACAAATTTTATTTAGTTTAAAAATCATCCGTATGTAAGAAAGATAGTTACGTTTTTAAATATCTAAAAAAAAACTGTAAAAATATTTATATACATATATACATATCTAGCAGAGGATTTTAGCATTTAGCATAGCTAAGAATTATATTTTTATATTGTTAATGTAACCGCGAAAAGTATATATTTTTTGCTTAAAATGTTTTATAAGTTTCTGGTTTCACGATAAAGTTTATGCATGCAGTATTTTTATGTTTCAATGAAATCTTCTCTTTGCTGTCTTTAATAGTCATAGTTTAAGGGCTTAATGTGAGTATTATTTCTTGGCACTTCTGTATAATGTTAAAATAATAAATAACCCACAACGTTAAAATAGATACACGATTAAAAACATTTTAATTAAGGTCAATATACGACCACTAAAATGTTGACCCTCCATGTTTCGACGTTGCAACGTCATCTTCAGGAGTGAGTTGCAAGACATACTCCTGTCTTATGTATACTTTTGTTGTTGTTAAATAGGTCATATGATCTATGTACAGGTTTACAATTCCCGCGTGAACATTTTAGAGAATGTCACCCCAAGTTTTTGCATAGAGATTCGCCAGACCTTCATCTCTATTTAAATATTAAAAATATCATGTATTATGAGTATGACGCCTTTATGTGGCTGATCCTTTAATTCTAACTTGGCTGTTTTTTTAGTATGACGTCTTTATGTGGCTGGCTCCTTTAATTCTAACTTGGCTGTTTTTTTAGTATGACGTCTTTATGTGGCTGATCCTTTAATTCTAACTTTGCTGTTTTTTTAGTATGACGTCTTTATGTGGCTGATCCTTTAATTCTAACTTTGCTGTTTTTTTAGTATGACGTCTTTATGTGGCTGATCCCTTTATTCTAACTTGGCTGTTTTTTTTTTTAGTATGACGTCTTTATGTGGCTGGCTCCTTTATTCTAACTGGGCTGTTTTAGTACATGCAAAGTATTGACTAAATATCAGTATTTTTTATTCGATTAAAAAACTTTGAGCTACACAAACTTGATTTTAGTGGAAATGTAGTATTTTTACGCACGCACACACACACACACATACATATACATATATATATCGGTTTTTCACCGATTTTTTTTATTAACGTATGCCATATACTACATAACTTTACAATGTTTAAAAAAATTGAAATTCCAAAGCACAATATCAGATGACATAACTATTTAATCCTTGCTCATTAGATCATTCTTTGAATTTAGACTTTCCATCCTCTTCTTAAAGCCTAACTCATTTTGTGTTTCTATTCAGATCGATGTTATGACCCTAATAGCTGTGTGATGTAGATTCCATTTAAAAGTATGACAAAATGTATTTTTCAATTACTATATATGATAGAAGTTTCAAACCAGCGGAATTCCCTAATTCAATGAATATTTACATGTGTTGTGCTTAGTAACACCCCATTATTTTTACATTATGTTTCGCTTTCACAAGAAGAAGAATTGTACAACTTGTTAACAATTCATTTCCCTTAATTTAAACCAGATGTGAAATTGCTGATTTTAATGTAACTTAAGATTGTCTACATGTGTTTAAAAACATAAGAATAGTGGCATTCCAGAATTATGAACAGCTATGTCACTACCCCAGTTTTGTCCAAAGTCTGTACCTGCGTGTAAGTAACAGTGAATGTTTCTCCAGCCTTTTTTCTAATTTTCTGACAAGACTCACTACCATGCCTCTAAATATTTTGTACATGTAAACTAATAGTTTTTGTCAATTTAGGAGTCCTATTAGACAAATTGTAATCATTTTCTATCTATGTTTAAAGTTTTTAATGTTTTAAATGAGTAGATCTTTTATTCCATATATTGTTTGTTTAGTAAACAAATATTTTCTAAAACAAATTAGCTTTCTTTTAATCTTGATTGAAACCTGAATACATTGCGTTAACCCATTTAAGCATTCTAACTTTGACAGCGGAAAAAGAGCAAGAAGACAACGTATAAAAGTAATATTTCTACCACTCTTTGAAAAATCATTTATTTTAATCTATTACAGATCTAATGCATTTTAATATAGTAAACATTTTAACGTTAATTACAAAGAAGATTCCTGTCAAAATGATATTTGATTCCAGGTTTCAAAAGAAGTTACTGCCACAGTTGCAGCGTTTTAGTCCATTACGACACTACCTAATTTCAGACTTTTCGCCTGTCCTAAACCCTTAATTTATCTGTTTTAACCTAGTAGCGGCTATAAGCAAATCACACATTATCAAAAAAATAATTCATAAATATGTTAATATATTTGTTACAACTGTCAAACTCTTGTTCAGATTAACATCTATTAATGAAAGTATTTTTCTTGACCTCCTTTGTTTATTATATATTTTGCCTTTTCAACAAGAAGAACTAATACTTTTTCCACTTTCTGACTACTTAATTCTCCTAAATTAAAACAATTGCGAATCTGCTGTTTTTAAAGAACAATAGTTTTACCTTACCGAAATTCCTCGTGAATACCCTTTTGTACATAGCAGTATAAAGGGCATACAATGTAATATATATATGTGTGTTTTTCTTCATTTAGGCAAATTTCAATAAACCTTTTTATATACCTACAAAATTATAAGCAGAATATTTATTGCATATTGCGGATCGGGTTCTTATATTTGTAATGCCATTTTTTTTTTTTTACAGTTTACTCTCCTGTGTACTTTATTGTTTCCACGTTAAACCAACTTTCCGGTCCATCAAAATAAATCATAATTGATCAATATTATGAGCTGGTTTTGTCCTCTATGAACTTAAAAGGTTTAATTTCAATATAGTTATGTAGCACGAGTAACAAATAAAATACCAGTTCAGGCGTGAAAGTTCTAATAATATTTTTATTTCCTGAGAAAATAGTCTATGTAATTGTACAAAATAAAAACTGGTAATCTTGCGGTCTGTTAAGGACACTGACCCATAAATCACAAGTTATGATAGCTGCGCATTTGCCTTTTTTGCCTGAAATGAATGTTTTTTATAGCAGGCTGTCAAAAACAATAATTTGAGATGATCAAGGGTATATGTATTTTTCTCTATACTTATCTTACGGTACGAGTGCATGAATTTCTTTTTTGCATATATATTTTTTTAATTTTTGCTTCTTAAATATACCTTATTTAACAAGTATGTAGCATGAAAAATTACAAATAAGATATTTAAGTGCGTTTAATTTTCGCACACCTCCTTAGAACTTGTGGTTATGAAAATATTCTTATATGCTAGGTCGTCAAAAAATTAATGTCGACTTTTTAGATGAAAAAAAAACAGAACAACTTATATATTAAAGAAAGCATTTGTTAAATGAAATAGTCTCCATTCTTATCGATGATGCTTTTCCATCTTACAATCAGGTTGTTAATGCCCTGATTAAAGAAATCACTTGGATTTGAAGCAAAAACATGTCGATGGCCTCTTTAACATTAAGATGGTGTTGCAGCGAAGGAAAAATATGGTAATCTGATGGTGCCATATCTAGAGAATATGACGGATGGTGGAGAACTTCCCAACCCAACTCCATAATCTTGTGTTGGGTCAAAAGTGACAATGTGGACGTGCATTGTCGTGGAGGTTTGTTTGTTTTTGAATTTCGCGCAAAGCTACACGAGGGCTATCTGTGCGAGCCGTCCATAATTTAGCAGTGTATGACTAGAGGGAAGGCAGCTAGTCATCACCACCCACCGCCAACTCTTGGGCTATTTTACCAACGAATAGTGGGATTGATCGTCATATAATAACGCCCCCACGGCTGAAAGGGCAAGCATGTTTGGTGGGACGGGGATTCGAACCCGCGACCCTCAGATTGCGAGTAGAGCGCCTTATCCACCTGGCCATGCCGGGCCACGTGGAGGAGGAGAACACCTTTCCGCTTGACGAGTGAAGGGCGTTTCTGATGAAGGACTTGATTTAAACGTTCCAGTTTCTGACAAAAGATCTCTGCATTGACAGTTCACTGTGGATTGAGGAGTTCGAAATTAATTATTCTTTTGATGTCCCACCAGATGCAAAGCATCACTTTCTGCGGATGAAGTCCAAGTTTTGGAGTCGGAGTGGTTTTTGTCCAGAACTAAGCCATTGTTTTTGGCGTTTAATATTCGCATAGAGAATCCATTTTTCATCGCCGGTGACAATTCTGTCCAAAAATGGTTCATGCGCATTGCGCGCCAGAAGAGACGAAACAACGTTCCCACCTTCTTTAAGGAGTTTTCCCATATTCCTTAGATGTTTACGCATTGTTTCGTGAGGGACTTGCAATTTCAGGGCCATTTCACGAATGTGTTGCCTTGGGTTAGACTCAACAAGGGTCTTCAGAGCATCAATATCAATTCCAAAATGTCAGCCCCTACCATCACAGTTTTTAGTCACCTGAATGAAATTTGCTGAACTATCCTTGATACTTACGAACGTTCAAAACATTTCCATAAACTTATTTGTTATTCTTTGTGGCTACAGAAGCGTTGTTTCTCCACTTGTATTCAAACAGCATTACATATCGAATGTGTGTCTCGTCGTGTGCCATCACTATAAAGGATTAGAGTATACTAAACTTCACACATTATATAGGCTACACGTTTAGGCAGTTCTTTTAACTATTATACGTAAAGTACGTTTTTTTTGGGGGGGGAGGGGTAATGAAAGTGTTCCAAAACGCGACATTAATTTTTTGACGACCTAATATATCAAAATTATCAGAGTTATGGAAATTCACTTCCAGAAAGATAACTTTACTTGAGATGTTGACAAAATTATTAGTACATTTAATATTTATGCTGAATGTATACCTCTGTGACAAATATAATACTTAAAGTATTACTTGTGATATTGGAAACTGACAAAAGAATTGTGAAATCACGATTTTACACACTTGCATAAAAAAGATCTTTGTTCAAGTGTAAAATATTTATATGGAGAAAAATAAATTAAAAATTATTGAAACGTACATAGAAAATATCAAGTTATAATGCAAATCTTTTGTAGGGAGAAATACTAAATCAGCACTTGACAAAGTATTCAGAAAAATATGAAATCTTCATTGTATAAAATTTGAAATCATTATTGTGCAAACATACATGGAAAAATTTCACACCATGGCTAGACACATATAATTAAGAAAATATTCAATTAAAATGACACAAACTTAAACGGGGAATTATTAAGCCATTACAACACAATCTTACACGTGCAAATATAAAATCGCAATAGTTCAAACTTGCGAAAGAATATCTATTGAAACATAGTAGTAAAAACTTACACGGGGAAATGTCTCTATAGCGATTTTTCTGTACATTCTCCGATAACTTTGCGATATTAGTTGTTTCTCCGGATTGTTTTCTGTGGATACTCTAGTACAAAAAGAAGACACTATTAGTAGTTAAAATTAGAGCTCTTCAGTGTCATAAAATGCTACTATAACATTTAATAAGTGTTGGGAAGCAATAAACACAATTAATGGAATAACCAAGTCGATAAACAACTAACCAAGGTTTCTTAATATAAGATAAACACTATGAGATATTGTCAACTAATAACACAGGCCTACGAATTTAAACTTCATAAAAGTTGTTTTAGTTTTAATAACGGATTTTCCTTAATTCAGCTACGCAGATTTCGAAAATAACATTCATTTTGTTTCTATCACGCATGAATTTTTTTACAAATCGGAAAGAAAAAAAACTCTTACTTAGATCAAATTATCCAATCGCGATTGGTCTAGAGAAATCTATAGCCAGTGGTTGTCAACATTTTAACATAACAAAATGCGACCCGATTTCAACGAAAATGATTCATTTATGTAAAAGTACATATGACGTTTTGTGAAAAATCTGTACGCGATGGAGAAAAATGGATATCATTTTCGGATTCAACGTACAGGAATTACTGTAGAACATGTAAACATTTCAAGACAATAAAACCAACGCAGGCTTGTGTAATTGATCAGTTTTCATAATGTAAAGTAAGATACAAGAATAATATGACGAAACTTTGTTTTCTTAAATTTTTGCCCACAAAATACAAATACAAAGATATCAATAAATAAAGTTTTAGCACGATTCAAGCGACTGATAATTTAACATAATCATTAACGTAGTCGCTCTCCTCCCATCTCTCAAAAACTTCATATTCCCTATGAAAATTTAAGCTATATATATATGTAGTACCGGGGTGTGCTGTATGTTTCCATTTTTGTAGTTAAAAATTATTTTTTTAACTTATATTGTTTTTAATGGTTCCTCTTACGGATACAGAGAGACGCTCATGTGACTTACTAATTTTAAATAAATTCTAGATAAAGGACAAAGCTTACACGAATAACAAAGCGGTAATGTGAGCTATTCTTGTTGGCAAATCAGATAATAGTTGTGGGTAGACTCGTCTATGCTTATTGAATAATTGGTTTAGCAAAGTCTAATCACTATTTGCATATTTAAGGCAGGTTTGAAAGAGCAGAACTTTATGATAATTTGATAGACTTTAAGCAGTTTTGGTTGTGTGTGCAGATAGTTGTTAATAGTTCCCTTTTGTGTGAATCCATTTTGTTTCTCAAGTATTTGGAAGAAACCTTCAATTTCTGCCATTTTCTTTGACTTTTATTTTTATTTAAAAAAGAGTCTATGCCACTCCTGTATGTACCTTACCCTTGATTAAGTGTGCCTTAAGTGAACGAGGTTAGTGTTATTTCATGTTAGAAGTGAATATTTGTAGAGTGTAGTGTTTGCTGTACTACTTAGAGTATTATCATTTTGATCTTGATAGGATTTTACATATGATATACTTAGGTATTAATTAGTGTTTGTTTGTTTGTTTGTTTTTGAATTTCGCGCAAAGCTACACGAGGGCTATATGCACTAGCCGTCCCTAATTTAGCAGTTTAAGACTAGAAGGAAGGCAGCTAGTCATCACCACCCACCGCCAACTCTTGGGCTACTCTTTTACCAACGAATAGTTGGATTGACCGTCACATTATAACGCCCCCACGGCTGAA